GGTGCAAGACCCAACACAAAGTCCCCATTCAAGGTCCTGTTCCTTTCCCCCATTGCAATCCCCTGTCCCAATCCCCCTCTTCGACCCCTGTGCCCCACCACCACCACCACCATACTCACTGGTGCAAGTCCCAAGTGCAAGACCCATTGCAAGGTCCTGTTCCAATCCCCCAATGCAATCCCCCGTGCCCACCACAACCCCTGTGCTCCCCATCACAACCCCGGTGCAAGACCCAACACAAAGTCCCCATCCAAGGCCCTGTTCCAATCCCCCATTGCAATCCCTTGTTCCCACCACAACCCCTCTGCTCCCCATCACAACCCCGGTGCAACACCCACCACAAAGTCCCCATTCAAGGTCCTGTTCCAATCCCCCAGTGCAATTCCCCGTGCCCACCACAACCCCTGTGCTCCCCATCACAACCCTGGTGCAAGGTCCCAAGTGCAAGACCCAACACAAAGTCCCCATCCAAGGCCCTGTTCCTATCCCCCAATGCAATCCCCTGTGCCCACCACAACCGCTCTGCTCTCCATTACAACCCTGGTGCAAGGTCCCCATCCAAGGCCCTGTTCCAATCCCCCAGTTCAATCCCCTGTGCCCACCACAACCCCTGTGCTCCCCATCACAACCCCAGTGCAAGGTCCCAAGTGCAAGACCCAACACAAAGTCCCCATTGAAGGTCCCGTTCCAATCCCCCATCACAATCCCTTGCTCCCACCACAACCCCTGTGCTCCCCATCACAACCCCGGTGCAAGACCCAACACAAAGTCCCCATCCAAGGCCCTGTTCCAATGCCCCATCACAATCCCTTGTTCCCACCACAACCCCTGTGCTCCCCATCACAACCCTGGTGCAAGGTCCCAAGTGCAAGACCCAATGCAAGATCCTATTGCAAGGTCCTGTTCCAATCCCCCAGTGCAATCCCCTGTGCCCACCACAACCCTGGTGCAAGTCCTAAGTGCAAGATCCAGGTGCAAGGTCCTCATCCAAGGACCTGTTCCAGCCCCCCTCTGCAACCCCTGTGCCCCACCACCACCACTGCACTCCATGGTGCAAGTCCCAAGTGCAAGACCCAATGCAAGGTCCCATAGCAAGGTCCTGTTCCAATCCCCCAGTTCAATCCCCTGTGCGCACCACAACCGCTCTGCTCCCCATTACAACCCTGGTGCAAGTCCTAAGTGCAAGATCCAGGTGCAAGGTCCCCATTGAAGGTCCTGTTCCAATCCCCCATCGCAATCCCTTGTTCCCACCACAACCCCTGTGCTCCCCACCACAACCCCAGTGCAAGGTCCCAAGTGCAAGACCCAACACAAAGTCCCCATTGAAGGTCCCGTTCCAATCCCCCATCACAATCCCTTGCTCCCACCACAACCCCTGTGCTCCCCATGACAACCCCGGTGCAACACCCACCACAGAGTCCCCATCCAAGGCCCTGTTCCCATCCCCATCACAACCCCCCGTCCCCCCCCCCGTCCCCCCCACTGACACCGCACCGCCGGGGTCCCTGCAGGCCGGGACGAGTACGTGGCCACCTTCAAGGGCAACGAGTTCTTCTGCTACGACCTCTCGCACAACCCCATCCAGAGCAGCACGGACGAGCTGACGCTGTCGTTCCGCACGGCGCAGCGCAACGGGCTGCTGCTGCACACGGGCAAGGCGGCCGACTACGTCAACCTCTCGCTCAAGAGCGGCGCCGTCTGGCTCGTCATCAACCTGGGCTCGGGCGCCTTCGAGGCGCTGGTGGAGCCCGTCAATGGCAAGTTCAATGACAACGACTGGCACGACATCCGCGTCACCCGCAACCTGCGGCAGGTACGGGCCGGGGCGCCGGCGGGCACCGGGGGGTGGCGGTGGACAAGGGTTCAAGTGGGAGTAATGGGTGTCTTGGGCAAGCACCCAACTGGGAGTAATGGGTGTCTTGGTCAGGCAGCAAACTGGGAGCAATGGGTGTCTTGGTCAGGCATCCAACTGGGAGCAATGGGTGTCTTGGTCGAGAACCCAACTGGGAGCAATGGGTGTCTTGGTTAGGCACCCAACTGGGGGCGATGGGTGTCTTGGTCAGGCAGCAAACTGGGAGCAATGGGTGTCTTGGTTAAGCACCCAACTGGGGGCGATGGGTGTCTTTGTCAAGAACCCAACTGGGGGCAATGGGTGTCTTGGTCAGGCAGCAAACTGGGGGCAATGGGTGTCTTGGGCAAGCACCCAACTGGGAGCAATGGGTGTCTTGGTCGAGAACCCAACTGGGAGCAATGGGTGTCTTGGTCAGGCATCCAACTGGGGGCAATGGGTGTCTTGGTCAGGCATCCAACTGGGAGCAATGGGTGTCTTGGTCAGGCATCCAACTGGGGGCAATGGGTGTCTTGGTCAAGCAACAAACTGGGAGCAATGGGTATCTTGGTCAGGCATCCAACTGGGAGCAATGGGTGTCTTGGTCAAGCACTCAACTGGGAGCAATGGGTGTCTTGGTCAAGCGCTCAACTGGGAGCAATGGGTGTCTTGGTCAAGCACCCAACCTTGGACAGCTCCCCAACTGAAGGCAATGGGTGCCTTGGTCAAGCACCCAGCCCTGGGCAGCTCCCCAACTGAAGCCAGTGGGTGTCTGGGTGATCTCCCCAGCTGGGAGCAATGGTGCCTTGGTCCAGTACTCAACTGGGAGCAAGGGGTGCTTTGGTCAAGCACCCCACTGAGTACAGTGAGTGACTTAGGTAAGCACCCAACTGAGGACAATGGGTGCCCTGGTTAAGCACCCAACTGAGGACAATGGGTGCCCTGGTTAAGCACCGAACTGAAGACAATGGGTGTCTTGGTCCAGTACTCAACTGGAAGAACTGGGTGCCTTGGTCAAGCACCCAACTGAAGACAATGGGTGTCTTGGTCCAGTACTCAACTGGAAGCACTGGGTGTCTTGGTCAAGCACTCAACCTTGGACAGCTCCCCAGCTGAGGCCAATGGGTGCCTTGGTCAATCACCCAGCCTTGGTCAACTGCCCAACTGGGAGGACTGGGTATGATGGTCAAGTGCCCAGCTGAGGGCAATGGGTGCCTTGGTGATCTCCCCAACTGGGAGCACTGGAAGCATTGGACATGATGGCCAACCACCTGACCTTGCTCAACTGCCCAACTGGGAGCACCAGGCATGCTGTTTGACCACCCAACTGGGGGAGCTGGGTGTCTTGAGCAGCTCCCCAACTGGGAGCACTGGGAGCATTGGGCACCTTGGTCCATTACCCAACTGGTGGTGATGGACACCAGGGTCTGCTCCAGAACTGGGAGCACTGTGTGTGTCGGTTAACTACCTAACTGGGACTACTGGGAGCACTGGTTGCCTTGGTCCAGTACCCAACTGGAGGTGTTGGACACTGGGGGCTACTCCCCAGCTGGGAAGCACTGAACTTGTTGGTCAAACACCCAGCTGGGAGCATTGGGAAAACTGGTGCCTTGGTCTGGTACCCAACTGGGAGCTCTGGTTCCTTGGTCAACAACTCAACTGGAAGCACTGGGAGCAATGGGAGCAGTGGTTCCTTCGTCCAGCACCCAACTGGGAACACTGGGAGCACTGGGAGCAGTGGTTCCTTGGCCCAGGACCCAACTGGGAACACTGGGAGCACTGGTTCCTTGGTCTAGTACCCAACTGGAAGCACTGGGAGCAATGGGAGCAGTGGTACCTTGGTCCAGTACCCAACTGGAAGCACTGGAAGCAATGGGAGCACTGGTTCCTTGGTCTAGAACCCAACTGGGAGCATTGGGAGCAATGGGAACACTGGTTCCTTGGCCCAAGACCCAACTGGGAACACTGGGAACACTGGTTCCTTGGTCCAGTACCGAACTGGAAGCACTGGAAGCACTGGCAGCACTGGTTCCTCGGCCCAGTACCCAACTGGGAGCCCTGGGACACGGGGTGCTGGGCTCCCCGGGGGGTGTCCATGCCCCCCTCTAACACCTCCGCTGCCCTCCCCCAAGGTGGGCGCAGCCCCCTCGTGCACCCCCCCCCGTACAACGCCCCCCCCCCTTTTCCCTCCTTGTGCAACGCCCCCCCCCACCCCCCCCTCCCCCCCCTGTGTGTGCGCGTGCCACTAACACGCTTCCCGCCTCCGGGGCCCCCCCCCACTAACCACGTGCCCCCAACTAATCCTGGGGGGGCCCCTCCCCCTCGGAATAAACCAACACCCCCAAAACCCCCCCAAACCCCCCCAAACCCCCCCCAAACCCCCCCGAACCCCCCCCGACCCCCCCGAAGCTGCGGGAGAAGTCACTGTCTGCTGTGTTTTGTCCCCCGCTCCCCCGGCGCCAGCACGCAGGGATCGGACACGCTATGGTAAACAAACTGCATTACCTGGTAGTTATCACTCTCTTGTTCCCCCTTGGCTTCGCCTCGGCCCCCCCACACCCCCCCCCACACCCCCAAACCCCGCCCCCTCCGGGCCCCCATTCCTGCCATAAGGGGGTGACCCCGACCCCCCCCAACAACAACACCCCATGGGTCCCCAATGCCAAAGCAGCCGCTCTCCCCCCCCAAATAGCCTCAATGGAGGGGGGAGGGGTGAGTGTGGAGAGGGGGGTGTCAGGTGACCCCCCCCCACCCCCAAACCCCGCCCCCTCCGGGCCCCCATTCCTGCCATAAGGGGGTGACCCCCGACCCCCCCCAACAACAACACCACCAACACCCCATGGGTCCCCAATGCCAAAGCAGCTGCTCTCCCCCCCCCCAAATAGCCTCAACGGAGGGGAGGGGTGAGTGTGGAGAGAGGGGGTGTCAGGTGACCCCCCCCACCCCAAACCCCGCCCCCTCCGGGCCCCCATTCCTGCCATAAGGGGGTGACCCCCGACCCCCCCCAACAACAACACCCCATGGGTCCCCAATGCCAAAGCAGCCGCTCTCCCCCCCTCAAAATAGCCTCAATGGAGGGGGGAGGGGTGAGTGTGGAGAGGGGGGTGTCAGGTGACCCCCACCCCCCCCAGTTTTGGGGTGAATTCGTGGGATTTTGGGCAATTTGATCCCGCCACTGCGTTAAAGGCGTCGCCACCAGAGCTCAGCTCCCCGATGCTAAAAACGGTCACTTCCCCCCCAAAATGAGCCCGTTTTGGGTCAGCAGGGGATGCTTTTCCTCGGGAGGGTGACGTCGGTCCCCACCCTCACCCCCTGCCCTCGTTTTGGGTTGAATTCTTGGGATTTGGGGCCATTTGATACCTCCCACTGCAGTCAGGGCATCACCCTCATTCCTCAGCACCCCGATGCTAAAACAAGTCGTTTTCCCCCCCAAATAAGCCCATTTTGGGTCAGGGAGCTGATGGTGGGGTCCCAACCCCCTCCTTTTAGGGTGAATTCTTGCGATTTTGGGCAATTTTCTAAGCCCTGCCTCCCTGACCCCAAAACCACCCATTTCCCACCCAAACCCTGCCCCGCAGGGGGTGGCTCTGCTGCTTAATGGGGGGGGGGTCTTAAAGCCTCATTTTGGGGCATTTTCTTTGGGTTTTGGTCCATCTGACCTCCCTCCCTCCTTTGTAGGCAGCCAGGCTCGAGCTAGGCAGACCCAAACCCAGCCGATTTCACCCCAAATTGATTGGGGGGTGGGGATTGACCTGAGGCCCCAACCCCACTTTTTGGGGGCGTTTTCATCCCAAAACCCAACTCGGGGTGGGGGAGGGGGAGTCACCATGTGGGGGGGGTGGAGGCAGGTTTCCGGGTGGCCCCTCCCCCAAATGAGGACAGAAACGGCGTTTTCAGGACAAACCGTGGGCAGCTTCCCCCCTCCCCCCCCCCCCGCAGGCAGTGGGACCCCCTTCCCCCATCTCCCCTCCCCCCCCCCCCCCGCTGCCTGCACGGAGCCCTTGCACGCCCCTTGCACGCCCCTCCCCCCGCATGGCTCACTAACACTGTGACCCCTCCCCCCCCCGAGGCCTTCCTTGCCCCCTCCCCATCTCCGTGTCCCCTCCCTCACCCCCCCACCCATGGGTGCTGCTGGCGGAGCACCAGGGCCTGAACCATTGAGGGTGGGTGCGCAAAGTGCAAGGGAAGGGGGGATGCAGGAGCGTGCACTGGTGCAGGGGGGGTGAACTGGTGTGTAATGGTGAGAGGTCCATGGAGTGTGTGTGTGTGTGCACGCGTGTGCACTGGTGCAAGGGGTGAGCACTGGTGTGTAATGGAGAGAGGTCCATGCAATGTGTGTGTGTGTGCACGCGTGTGCACTGGTGCAGGGGGTGAGCACTGGTGTGTAATGGTGAGAGGTCCATGCAATGTGTGTGTGCACGCGTGTGCACTGGTGCAGGGGGTGAGCACTGGTGTGTAATGGTGAGAGGTCCATGGAGTGTGTGCGTGTGCACGCGTGTGCACTGGTGCAGGGGGGGTGAGCACTGGTGTGTAATGGTGAGAGGTCCATGCAATGTGTGTGTGTGTGCACGCGTGTGCACTGGTGCAGGGGGGTGCACTGGTGTGTAATGGTGAGAGGTCCATGGAGTGTGTGTGTGTGTGTGCACGCGTGTGCACTGGTGCAGGGGGTGAGCACTGGTGTGTAATGGTGAGAGGTCCATGGAGTGTGTGCGTGTGCATGCGTGTGCACTGGTGCAGGGGGTGAGCACTGGTGTGTAATGGTGAGAGGTCCATGGAGTGTGTGTGTGTGCACGCGTGTGCACTGGTGCAGGGGGTGAGCACTGGTGTGTAATGGTGAGAGGTCCATGGAGTGTGTGCGTGTGCATGCGTGTGCACTGGTGCAGGGGTGAGCACTGGTGTGTAATGGTGAGAGGTCCATGGAGTGTGTGTGTGTGCACGCGTGTGCACTGGTGCAGGGGGTGAGCACTGGTGTGTAATGGTGAGAGGTCCATGGAGTGTGTGTGTGTGCACGCGTGTGCACTGGTGCAGGGGGTGAGCACTGGTGTGTAATGGTGAGAGGTCCATGGAGTGTGTGTGTGTGTGCACGCGTGTGCACTGGTGCAGGGGGGTGCACTGGTGTGTAATGGTGAGAGGTCCATGGAGTGTGTGTGTGTGTGCACGCGTGTGCACTGGTGCAGGGGTGAGCACTGGTGTGTAATGGTGAGAGGTCCATGGAGTGTGTGTGTGTGCACGCGTGTGCACTGGTGCAGGGGGTGAGCACTGGTGTGTAATGGTGAGAGGTCCATGGAGTGTGTGTGTGTGCACGCGTGTGCACTGGTGCAGGGGTGAGCACTGGTGTGTAATGGTGAGAGGTCCATGGAGTGTGTGTGTGTGCACGCGTGTGCACTGGTGCAGGGGGTAGGACTGGTGCAAGGGGTGAGCACTGGTGTGTAATGGTGAGAGGTCCATGGAGTGTGTGCGTGTGCACGCGTGTTCATGCGTGCAAGGGTGCAAGCTTGTGTGTGCAGGTACCCATGCAAGGGGGGGTGTGTGTGTATGTGTGTGCTCACACGTGTGTGCATGTGTGTGTGTGCTTATACGTGTGTACATGTGTGTGTTCACGCACACGTGTGTTCATGTGTGCTCACACATGTGCACTCGTGCATGCTCACACACGTGTATGTGTGCGTGTGCTCACACGCGTGTATACGTGTGTTCACACACACGTGTGTTCATGTGTGTTCACACACACGTGTTCATGTGTGCTCACACGTGTGTGCACTCACGTGCATACTCACACGCGTGTATGTGTGTATCACGCACACGTGTTCCTGTGTGTTCACACCTGTGTGCACTCATGTACATGCTCACACACGCGTACATGCGTGTGCTCACGTGTGCTCATGTTCACACGCGTGTGCAAGCCGCACACGGGGCTGCCCCATCCATGGCAGGGCCCTGGTGCTCCCCCTGTCCCTGTGCCCCTGCACGCGCCTTGCACCCCCACTCATGCCCTCGCACCCCCATTGCACGCGCCCTGCACGCCCTGCCCCCACTAACACCCATTGATCGTCTGAGCTTGGTTCTGAGGACCCCAAAACCCGATACTAACCCCCCCCCCATCCCCTTGTCCCCATTGTCCCCCCCACCCCCCTGCCCCTCGGTCCCTTGGGGCCACCCCATTGTCTCCCTGTCCCCATCGTCCCCTTGTGCCACCTTGTCTGCATTGTCCCCTATCTCGTCCATTGCCTCCCCCATGTCCTCCACATCTCCGTGTCCCCCATTGCCCCCATGTCTTCCGTTGACCCCCATGTCCCCCCCATCCTCATGTCCTCAATCTCCCCCATTGCCCCCATGTCCCCACATCTCCCATTGCCCCCATGCCCCCCATGTCCCCATTGCCCCCCATGTCCCCATTGTCCCCCATGTCCCCATTGTCCCTCATGTCCCCATTGCCCCCCATTGCCCCCATGCCCCCCATGTCCCCATTACCCCCCATGCCCCCATTGTCAAT